GGCCCCGGGCCGGGAAAGGGGGAAAACTGGGGGTTGGGGTCCCTTGGCGGGACCGGGAAAAAAAAAAAAAAAAAAAAAAAAAAAAAAAAAAAAAAAACACTAAAGACTAATTTCTCTAATTTTCTTATTTTTTCCCCATTTTGTCACCTGCCTTTTTATTCTGCATTTTAGACTGTTACTTTGATTTTTTTGGTTGTTTTTCAGCTGTTTGTACTTTTATTTCATAGAAAGGTACTTTTATTTTTTAATCTTTTATGGAGGCAATATCTTCTCTTATTTTTCTCAGGATATTATTTATAATTTTTTTGTTGTTGAGGTTTTCTTGTGGTTACTGGATTTTTCCTAAGACCTCTGAGTTAATTTTTTCCTGTGTTAAACTCTCTTGCTGGAAGCCTTCCTCAAATTTCATTCATATATAAAACTGATATTCTAAAAAATGGATTGAAGTTTTTGTGGAGCTTGTCTACTTTGGGTTTTTTCTAGAGTGACTTCCTGGCAAACAGACTTAAAAAAAAAAAAAGTCTCTAGCCCCTCCTCCCCCCTTTCCCATTTCAGTAACTAGAGGCCATTTTTATGGGACTATTTTTTTTCTGCTGGGAGGGTTCCTCCAGTCACACGTAAGAATGGCTTAATTCAGGGTTTTATTCAATCCTGTGCTGCTGTCCTCCATGGTTCCCAAGGGTCCTCAAATGCAGTTTCTCCTGCTTAGCTTCTGTGGAGACTAAGCCTGCAGTCGCCCTTTACAGGATTGGAAGAGAGCCTAAGTGCTTGGGTATCTAAATGGTCCTTTTAGACTTACAACCAGACTTGTGTTTTTAGACACTGCTGGTCCTCCTCCCACCCCCCCACCCCTCGCTATTCCTGAGCCTTCAGGAATGAGCCAGCTTTCTTTTCTTTTTTATTTTTTTTCCTTTTTGTCTTTTTTACTGACCGGTAACTGGATCGCAACTCTCGGTGTTGCACCTGTACCGCACTCAGCCAGTGAGCGGGAACCGGTCTCCACATGGGATCTGAACCCTCGGCGGGAGCGCCGCCGCGCTCCCAAGTGGCGTACTCTCCAGTGCGCCACCGGGCCAGCCCTGAGCCAGCTTTCTTCTCACTTCTGTCTTCCTTCCATGCACTTGGGCTTCTACTTTTTCTCCATCTGCCTTCTGTCTTTTATGAGTTTGCTGACATCTCTAGTCTGCAGTTTTCTTCTTTATCACACTCTCTGCCCTTCTGAGTTTTTACCTAATCTATTCCTTTAATGTCATTTTACTAGGGTTGCACGGGGAGTAGAGTTAAATGAATATATTTAATTCCCTTGTTAAACAGGAAGTCTGGCCTCTGCTTCTAACATCCAAAATGTTCATGCTCATAAGCAGTTGTCTAGTGATCAAAAGCCTCATTTCTGGGATGGTAAAACCCCAGTTTCTTCAATCTTGTTACCATTTTCTTCTGACTAACATGCTTATTAAGGTTCAGATTCCAAAGCTAGTATGTGTCTTGAATGGTTGTTCCTATTGATAGTGTTCCAGAAGAACGCATATCCTGTAATACAGCAGTATTTTGTGTGTTGAATGCAGTTTACCTTTAACCTTCTCCTGTATAAAATAAGTATTTCAACTTTTCCATCTAAATTCTTCTTTGCAGGTAGCCTGAGAACAAGTAAAATAACATCCTAAGTAAAAATGAACTGAGTTCTAAAGCTCTATAATACTTTTTCTGCTGCTATGTTCTTAATTTAATATGGTATCAGTATCACTGACAGTAATACTAATGTCAGTTGTGTAAAAAAAAGGGGGTTTCTAAGAAGGCATGAGTCTTTACTCCCCGTGGATCTGTCTAAATCAGAAGATTGTATTTATGCTTCTCCATGAAGCCAAGTGACAATAAAATCAAGAGAAGCAGGAGGGAATAAAGTTAGTAAGGGAAAGCTTTGCCTTTATCTCCTGGCGAGATTCATGCGATGAGTAGAAATATAGTTTCTTGTCTCTTTGCCTCATTATGAAACAAAAATTGAGATCTCTAAGGGGGCCAAGGGCACCAGCTATTAAAAATTGATGAACACCTTGAATTATACTCACAGAAAAATTGGTGGTCAGAGTAGCTGTAGCAGAACTGGTAGTGTGATTAACTTCTTCTGGGATTTATACTTCAGGCTGCTTTGCAGCTGTTGTCCTGTGCCTTTAACCTTATTTTCTATAAGTGTTATTTTTCATGTCCTAAATTATTACCACTCTTCTGTTTCTCTCTTGTTCCCCTCCCTCTTCTTTATTTGTAGAATTGTCACACTACTTATTCACAGATGTCCCTTAGAAATCAAGGTTGGACCTTTTTGTGGGGGATGGTGGCTTAGTTAATTCAGAGGTCAACAGTTTGTTTTTCTTCCTGTCCCTATACCTGTCTGCCACGTGTTGTGAACAGTACTGGAGTGTAGCTTCTTTAAGGAACTTTGTGGTTAGTCTTTTCTAACAGTTGGATTTTGTTAAAATGAGGTACATGTATACATGTATGCTTTCTGTTTATCAGTCTGCTATTAGCTAAGTGTGCATTTCCAGGTTTATTTTAATTACTTTTTACAAAGTATATACTGAAAGAGATCCTCTTAGATGTACCTGATTGGATCCCTTTTTTCTACCAGACAGTGGTAGGATCACTCAAAAACACTTGCCTT